TTGTAACCTCAAACTGTCCACTGTACTTGTTTACATTCTTTGCACCATAGCTGCGTTATTTCAAAGTCTGAAATTCTTTTCCGTACTCCTGGCCGCTTTAGAGGAAATCCGCATCAACCACTTTCCTGATTGTGTTTGCGAATATTGTCACAGTACCCAAATTGTACCCATTTTGCAACCAAAAAAAATAATGAAAATCTTTAAGGATCTCTAAGCCTGAGATTAAACAATTTGTATATTCATCAATTGTCATTATGCAGATTTTTCAACATAGCTAAATACACTTTAATATACACAAAAGTATCACATTAAATCAACAGATAAAGATTCCAGTTCTTGAAGAAGTAAAATTTACGTCAAATCGCGTGCGACGTCGACAATAATACGACTTTTGAAATAGGCAATTAAAGCATTCATTACTTATAAAAAAAAGGGATAAAAAGCATTCAATAATGTCAAATTCTTCTAAGAGTGTGAAGATATTAAAATAAAACATCAGAAACTCGACGTTTCATATGTGTAAACCTTAAGCATGTGTGAAACTCATTTCATATACTTTCCTCTTTGGGATGTTTGTCACAACCATTTTCTCTCATTCAGTATGAATTCAAAATTAAAGTTGAATTAATTTCACTATCTTGCATGTTAGAAAAAAAATCCGATTAGACATGTTAACAATTAAAAATTGTCAAAATAGTTTAAATATGGGTACTACCACATTAAACGGGTATTCCATGGGAAAGAGTAAGACTCCTTCTGCAACATGCTTTTGTCCACAATATAGATAGCTAAATACTTCTCTTTGTTCCATGTTAGACCACCGTTTTACCTGCTAAAGATTGATTCATGTGTTTCTCCCATGATCTGACTGCTGTAATTTTGTATGACGTAAGCAAATGTCATGTCTCACCATAGCAACAAACTCACATTAACTCCACTTTACATTCACATTTAGAAGGCAAGGTAATCAACCGGGGTTTGCTCCACCTAAAATGAGGGGTAATTTTAATATGGGTCAACTCGGGATAAGGCATTCAGACTACCTAGATTTAACCCGGATTAACTAATTCTGGTCGATTGGTGCGCCAATTCTTAATATAATAGTTATTCCGGGATCCTTAATTAAATGAAAGTCCTTTTAGAACGGTTGGGGTCAGAATATTGTGTCATAGTATCATGGTAGAAAGTTATCTTGAGAGGTAGCATGTTAAAATTCAAATGAAATATTGTACTACATTGTACAAAGCAGGATTGATTCAGTTCACATTAACATGTTACCATCCTGATTCCACTGTAATGGTAGGTTAAGAAGCTACATGTATTAATATCTACCCTTAATGTTTTATTGTTCTTTTTTTCAGGGATTTAAAGTAGGATATATTGTTTTTAGAAAACCAGCCTCTGTAGAAACAGTTAAACAACTTCCATTTGATACACCTCTGGTTATTTCTACAACTAAAAACCCTGTGTTAACAGGTGTTGAAAGTAAGTCAAGCCAGTAGCAATAGGTATTAAACACAAGTCTACCAAGTGTGAACAAGTGTTAAAGTTAAGTCTACTCAGTATCAACAGGTGTTAAAGTCAAGTCTATCCATTATCAACAGGTGTTTAAAGTCAAGTCTATCCATTGTCAACAGGTGGTAAAGTTAAGTCTACCCAGTGTCAACAGGTGTTAAAGTTATGTCTATCCATTGTCAACAGGTGTTAAAGTTAAGTCTACCCAGTGTCAACAGGTGTTAAAGTGAAGTCTATCCATTGTCAACAGGTGTTAAAGTTAAGTCTACCCAGTGTCAACAGGTGTTAAAGTCAAGTCTATCCATTGTTAACAGGTGTTAAAGTTAAGTCTACCCAGTGTCAACAGGTGTTAAAGTTAAGTCTACCCAGTGTCAACAGGTGTTAAAGTTAAGTCTACCCAGTGTCAACAGGTGTTACAGTTAAGTCTACCCAGTGTCAACAGGTGTTAAAGTCAAGTCTGTCCATTGTCAACAGGTGTTAAAGTTAAGTCTACCCAGTGTCAACAAGTGTTCAAGTTAAATCTACCCAGTGTGAACAGGTGTTGAAGTTAAGTCTACCCAGTGTCAACAGGTGTTGAAGTTAAGTCTACCCAGTGTCAACAGGTGTTAAAGTGAAGTCTATCCATTGTCAACAGGTGTTAAAGTTAAGTCTACCCAGTGTCAACAGGTGTTAAAGTCAAGTCTATCCATTGTCAACAGGTGTTAAAGTTAAGTCTACCCAGTGTCAACAGGTGTTAAAGTTAAGTCTACCCAGTGTCAACAGGTGTTAAAGTTAAGTCTACCCAGTGTCAACAGGTGTTACAGTTAAGTCTACCCAGTGTCAACAGGTGTTAAAGTCAAGTCTGTCCATTGTCAACAGGTGTTAAAGTTAAGTCTACCCAGTGTCAACAAGTGTTCAAGTTAAATCTACCCAGTGTGAACAGGTGTTAACAGTAAGGCTGTGCTTACATTCAGCAAAATTTGGTGTTGTTTTGGTGTCCTCAACACTTAAACCAAACAAGACAACACATGTACATTCCCTTGGATAAAAATCAGTGTTACTTATAGTTTGAATTAGGTTTTGATTATTTGTATGCAGTCAACTATAAATGTAGGCATTGTGTGCTGTTAAGTGAACATAATAGTGGATATTCAGAACATGAATTTTGTTATGAATATTTAAGGAAGAAACATTTATCGAATTAAAATGATTATAATGAGATCATGAATTAACTTTCAATTTAAATGTCAAAAACTCAAATATTGCTATTTTATTAAAAGAAACATGTTAAAATAGGTGACGACTATTTGATTTTTTAGGGGTTGGGGGTGGGGTTGAAGGAGGATTTGCCGATTGAATGTTAATTTCACACTTGCTGATGATAGTTGCTCAGTTCACAAAAAATGATTGTTAATTCTGGAATAAGTCAATTGCTTACATGTATTTTGTTGTTTTATTTATAGAATGGTGTGACGAATACGAGAAGAGCAGAGTTGATGTGAAACAGTTACAGGATGAAATAGACACCTACATGCAGTCTTATGATAAACTTGTGGAGGCGGTATGTGTACATCATTTTAAGTAGTGAATGTGTTATGTATTACCAATGTGTTTTCAACTGATCGGGCGGAGCTTACATTTCAATTTTCATAAGGACAGTCTATTTGAAGATGTGTGTGATAAGGATGATTGCTGTTATAATTATAACTGATCACCTATCAGTGTCACCAAAACATTAAAGAATAACGACATAACGACGTATGCAGATTTTGCAACTGCTGTCGTTATAGTTTTACTTTCATATCCACAAATTCCAAAATGTGACAATTTTTACATGTTTTTAATTTCTGCTTTACAAGAAAATCAACGGCTGTGTCTCATTATTTATTTTGCGAATACACATATAGTGTTTACATATATTAACTGGATCAATGACCATAACTCAACACTTCATTGATGAGTTTATCCCAAAACACCTATCTATAGATGGACTGGTCTATAATAAGCGAACGGGTTAAACTCCACCCAGTCATGTGATATAAATCAAGTAAGAGTTCTTGTGATATAGGCGACAAATTTCATTATTTGTTTTGCAGTTCGCAATTGAAGAACAAACGAAAATTATTTCTACAAACTAAATTTTTACATAGTTCAAATATAATATAAATTTGTTCACTGTTTAATACTAAAAGCAATCAGATTTAAGAAAACTGTGTTTATTTATTAAGTGTATTGATAAAAAAGTTAGTCCCTCCATGTAATTGTAAACACATAAACATCGTGCTGATTTCTTTCTGTTCAGTTTAACCTTTTATTATACATGTTACTTAACATGTATGCCATCATAATTTTGTACTTCATTTTACAATATCGTACTGAATTTGTTTACCTCAACTATTGTATTTGTATTTATATTGTATGTTTCTCTGTAAACTTGTGTTTAGTTTTTATACGACCGCAAAAAAATTTTTGTGGTCGTATATTGGTATGACGTTGGCGTCGTCGTCGTCGTCGTCGTCCGAAGACGCATTAGTTTTCGCACTCTAACTTTAGTTTAAGTGAATGGATCTCTATGAAATTTTACCATAAGGTTCAATACAACAAAAGGAAGGTGGGGATTGATTTTGGGGGTTATGGTACCAACAGTTAAGGAATTAGGGGCCAAAAAGGGGCCAAAAATAAGCATTTTCTAGTTTCCAGACAATAACTGTGGAACGGTGTATGGATCTCTCTGAAATTATACTACAAGTTTCCATACGACAAAGGGATGGTTAGGATTTGCTTTGAGGGGTTATGGCTCAAACCGTTTAAGAATTAGGGGCAAAAAAGGGGGAAAAACAAGGTTGTCCTGGTTAATGGACAAATACTTTAGTACAAAACATAATTTAAAGCAGTGTAAGGGAGATAAATCAAATACATCATTGAAATTATCTCCCTTACACTGCTTTTAAATTATGTATAAAGTAATGGTTAATGAACAATTAAGATAATTTAAAAGCAGTGTAAGGGAGGTAATCCAAATACAACGTTTTGGTTACTTCCCTTACACTGCTTTTAAATTATGTTTAAAGAAATGCATATTTATAAAGGAAGACCATAAAAAATATCTGCAAATGTTGCATCTTTTTTTTTTACAAAAAAATCCATATGAAAGATTTGACACTATATTTTAAATTCTATTATAAAATAGATTAAGTTAGCACTATGGTAAATTTAAATGGGTAATTATGGTTTGGGGGAAAAAATGGGGGGGGGGAGTCAAAAAGAAATTGTGGGGGGTCAATTTTTTCTCATTTCAGATTTCAGAAATTAAAAAGAATTATTCTTCAAATATTATTTTTTTTTCAAATTTCAAATATTGAAAAATTTCAAGAAGTAATCTTTAATTGCACAGTATGGCGCATTAGATTTGTAAAATCTTTGACCACATTTATTTATTTGTTATGCCGAATCTAACGATGTATTTAGGTTTTTAATTTTGGATCCAGTTTTCAAATTGGTCTACATTAAGGTCAAAAGGGTCCAAAATTAAAATTTGTTTGATTTTAACAAAAATTGAATATATGGGGTTCTTTGATATGCTGAATCTAAACATGTATTTAGATTTTTGATTTTTGGCCCAGTTTTCAAGTTGGTCCAAATTGGGGTCCAAAATTAAACTTTGTTTGATTTCAACAAAAATTGAATATATGGGGTTCTTTGATATGCTGAATCTAACCATGTATTTAGATTTTTTATTTGTGGACCCCGCTATCAAATTGGTTCATATTGAGGTCAAAAGGGTCCAAAATTAAACTTTGTTTGATTTCATCAAAAATTGAATTATTGGGGTTCTTTGATATGCCAAATCTAACCGTGTATTTAGATTTTTAATTTTGGGTCCCGTTTTTTAAATTGGTCTACATTAAGGTCCAATGGGTCCAAAATTAAACTTAGTTTGATTTTAACAAGAATTGAATTCTTGGGTTTCTTTGATATGCTGAATCTAAACATGTGTTTAGATTTTTGATTATGGGCCCAGTTTTCAAGTTTGTCCAAGTTGGGGTCCAAAATTAAACTTTGTTTGATTTCAACAAAAATTGAATATATGGGGTTCTTTGATATGCTGAATCTAAACATGTATTTAGATTTTAGATTTTTGGCCCAGTTTTCAAGTTGGTCCAAACTGGGGTCCAAAATTAAACTTTGTTTGATTTCAACAAAAATTGAATATATGGGGTTCTTTGATATGCTGAATCTTACCATGTATTTAGATTTTTTATTTGTGGGCCCGCTATCAAATTGGTTCATATTGAGGTCAAAAGGGTCCAAAATTAAACTTTGTTTGATTTCATCAAAAATTTAATTATTGGGGTTCTTTGATATGCCAAATCTAACCGTGTATTTAGATTTTTAATTTTGGGTCCTGTTTTTTAAATTGGTCTACATTAAGGTCCAAAGGGTCCAAAATTAAACTTAGTTTGATTTTAACAAAAAATGAATTCTTGGGGTACTTTGATATGCTGAATCTAAACATGTGTTTAGATTTTTGATTATGGGACCAGTTTTCAAGTTTGTCCAAGTTGGGGTCCAAAATAAAACTTTGTTTGATTTCAACAAAAATTGAATATATGGGGTTCTTTGATATGCTGAATCTAACCATGTATTTTGATTTTGGACATTGGACCATAATAGGTAAATTAGAAAAATTTAAGTTCTTAGACCACATTCTTTCTGTGTCAGAAACCTATGCTGTGTCAAATATTTAATCACAATCCAAATTCAGAGCTGTATCAAGCTTGAATGTTGTGTCCATACTTGCCCCAACTGTTCAGGGTTCGACCTCTGCGGTCGTATCAAGCTGCGCCCAGCGAAGCATTTTATTAGAGAATAAAGTATGTATCTATCTATCTACATTTTGTCCCCTTCATCATTATACAACAGAGTATTAAGACATACATGTACATCCAGATTTACGGTATACAGAGAGTGTGTGTCTGACTTTAGTAAAGATATATTTTATTTTGAAGGAGTAGTATTTAACATTGTATAAAGGTAGTATACCTTATAACCATAATGTGACACCTTGTACTGAAGCCTCAAACAATATGCAGGCCTCAGTATTACTGAAATATTTGTTGTGATTAGATAACCAAAAATTTTACAAGTAAGACATGTTAACATTGCAGACTGATGACACAGACAATATAGAGATTGTATATCATATAGGCAAAAGGAGGAAGGAAGTGTGTATTCATTTATTTTTGTACTGATTTTTGTTGATTGATTATAAAAAAAGGGTTATTTTTTCAAAATTTTTTTCATTCTTGATATATATTGGAACTTTTGGATTTGTTAAATAATTCCACCGCATGTAAATATGCTGTATTTGATTGAATGAGAGAAATTGTATTTTTACAAATTTTCTACTTGTTGAGATTTTTTTTTTACTCTGCCGGCTTATTTGTCATTAGGGAATTCAATGTGCCAGGGTATTTGCTAGCAAATACTACGGCGGATGGGAAATACCATGTCTAAAAATAGCGCGACATCCGAAGACCTCTAGACTTTTTGTTGAGATAGATACAAAGAACATTCGTTGGAATTAAACAATTATATAATGCTTACAAGGGGTATTTGCCAAAAATACCGGTTTCAATGTAAACAAATTTCACTTGCCTAACGGCTCTGGAAATTTGACAAATACCCTTTGTAAGCAAGATATATTTATATAAAGTTAAATTTGTACTTTACATATTTTAATGAAATCAATGAAAATTAATATCCCAGGATTGATAATGAATCCACAGTATGTTATACCTCATACTAATATTCCTCAGACAATATAGAGCTCAGATATTTTCTATTATAGGACAAGAAAAAGGCTCTGGAGCAGGAGGGTGTACCTGATGAAGATGGATGGGTTACTGTCACCAGACACAGCAAGAAAAACAAAGCTGTTCCTCGAACTGAAGCAATGGAGTCCAAACTTACAGAGATAGAGAGGAAGAAAAAGCAAAATATGGTAAGAATTCAAGCTTCATTTGTACTTTCTACATTGACATGTATTTAAAGCAACTATGCAATCATGTGTTTTGTTTCAATTGGTAATCAGTAAGAGCCATTACTTTTTTCTAGCTTTACTGTCAATGTGCCAGTCTAATTGTTCATAATGAATAAAAAGAAATGTGTGGTGAATGGCAAATTAACGTCAAACAAAGTAGAAAAGTTTATCAGATATTTTTCTTTAATTTCTGTAATATCGTCAAAAGAAAACCAACAGGAGCAAAATATATGTGCTTGTCTATGACCTTGTCAGATGATGTCTCTTTTATAGTTTAATTTTCATTTTATCTGTTTTTGGCAGATATTTGATAGTTCTCTGTTCTCTCACATTTATTTACAAATTTTCTAATTATAAATAGGTCAATTTGAGTTTACTTGTCTTTTGTTAAAGATTTTATGTTGACCTCTTGTCATCTTTTGATTTTTTTATAAAAATTAATCTGTAAGTCTTTCAATATTATAAAATACTAAAAATCAGCAAGAATATTTACAGGTCCAATAAAAAGTCTAGATGGCTGTTGTATGTTAGATAAGGGAAGACTTAATATGGATAAACCTATATGCACAAGCCAAATAGTGGTAAATCATAAAAAGGATTTTGACACTGATTTCATTATAGTTATTTTACATTGCATGTGATTAAGTAAATTGATACAATAGGTGCATTTGTCTCTTTTGCAGGAACTCAAGAATTTTTACACCTTTCAATCTAGAGAAACCAAAAGAAATGGTAAGTTTATATGAATAATTAATCTGATTTATGGATCATAAGTATTTTGATGTCTTATTATTCGTGGCTGTATATTGGTATGACGTTGGTGTCGTCGTCGTCCGAAGACACATTGGTTTTCACACAATAACTTTAGTTTAAGTGAATGGATCTCTATGAAATTTTACCATAAGGTCCAATACCACAAAAGGAAGATTGGGATTGATTTTGGGGGTTATGGTACCAACAGTTAAGGAATTAGGGGCCAAAAATAAGAATTTTTGTAACTTCCAGACTATAACTTGTGTTTAAGTGTATGGATCTCTTTGAAATTATACCATAAGTTTCCATACCACAAAGGGATGGTTAGGATTGGCTTTGGGGGGTTATGGCTCAAACCGTTAAGAATTAGGGGGAAAAAAGGGGAAAAAACAAGGGTTTCCTGGTTAATGGACAATTTAAAAGCAGTGTAAGGGAGGTAATCCATAAACAAAATTGTACAATGTTGTACAATGTTGGATTACCTCCATTACACTGCTATTAAATTATCTATTTAAGACTTTTATGATGTATTTAAATTGGTAATTATGGTTGCAAACTCTATTGGAAATTTGAATTGAGATTATGACCATATCTTAAGGGAAAGAATTTTTTTTTTTGGAAAAAGGGGGGGGGGTGAATCGAGGATAAAAAAGAAATTGTGGGGGGCAATTTTTTTTTCATTTCAGATTTAAAAAGAAAATTTCTTCAAAAATTTTTTTTTTTTTGCATTTTTTTTTTTGCAAAAGAGTTAATGCGCAACAGCATAGTGTATTGCACAAAAGCAAAAAATTGAATATAAATTCAAATCATATAACCAATTCTAAGTTCTTTGACTACAGTTATTCAGTGTCAGAAACCTATTATGTGTCAAATATTTAATTACAATCCAAATTCAGACCTGTATCAAGCGCGATTATTGTGTCCATTTTCACCCCAACTGTTCAGGGTTGGTCCTCTGCGGTCGTATCCAGCTGAGCTCAGCAAAGCATTTTATTTAATTTAAATTGATAAATAACAATCACTCTACTGTCAAAACTAATGCTAATAAAGCTTGTTAATTCTGTTTGTAAAAGGTAAACAATGTAATTTTTTTGGGTTAAGATTGCATGAAATGCAATCAAAACCCTATGATACTCACTTGATATCTAAATCTTCCAAGGTTTATCACAACCTTTGATATACACAAAATATAGTGCATTGATCATAACATTCTATACATATAGAATAATGGCATTTTTATTTTTGATACTGACTTTAACAGCAAGAATATCAAGCCAGTCCACTAGAGGGAGCTGATATTCAAGCTGATGAAGTCAGTATCAGAAAATAAAATGCTATTATTCTGTTTATCAGCAATTTGTCATAACTGTATTTTTTGTTGTTGAGAATATGAAGTAAAATGAAATAGTTAGTAAAACTACTTACGTGTACAAAACGTTGGGATAGTTGTTAGTTTGTTTGAATGAAGTCGCATGCATTTCATTAATAAATTGACACGGATGGACTTAACCACGCGAAGTTGCTGCACTGATACACGACGTCATTGCCTTAATATTTTCGAGTATCAAGTCCTGTCCGTGATCTTAAAAATATTAGGCAGTAAGATCAAAGAGAAAATGTACAAATTGCCGATAAATCCTCCTATCCATGAACATTTCCAGAAATTTATCAAAGTAATATATGCTCAGATATTCAAGTCACAAAATGCTACACTTGTCAAGAAAATTACATAACTTTTGCAAGGTGCAGGAATCTAATATCTGTTCTAGAAATATCAATGATGTCATTGTTAAAGTCATCTTTAAAAATTGGAGTTATCTTCCTTTATCCAGAATTGTAGTTGAATCAACTACAACCAATGCTTTATACAATGCAATATTTGATTTTACTTCCCTATGATAAATTAAAGCAATCTTTACCATGCAGTGCTTACAAGCACTTTGATTGGAAGAAATATTGTGTGTTAAACAGATATCAAATATCCTTGAGTATGGGCTTTGCTCATTGTTGAAGGCCGTATGGTGACCTATACTTGTTAATTTCTGTGTCATTTGGTCTCTTGTGGAGAGTTGTCTCATTGGCAAGCATACCACATGTTCTTGTTTATATTGAAAATACAATTTTTCTTCTATCTATGAAAATGTGTACAGTTTCTACAAAATAGAGAGATCCACAGTTACTATATATATATGTGCATTCAAACAAAAGAAGTCATATTGAAAGTTACTTTCAAAAGTTAATTTTACAAATAGGGAGATTTAGTGGTTCATAGTAAAAGTATACTATAAGTTTGCATAAGAAAAATATATCTAATTATAAGATAATCAAATATTTCATTATCATGTAGAATTCTTTGTAAAATAAAAATTTGATATTTGCTCATATTTTTACTGGTCTACCTTCAAATATTTATACTGTAATGTAGAACATTAATGATGAGTCAAAAATATTGCCATGGTCCTTTGTACAGCCATTTTTCAAATAAAACAGGCTGAATAAAAGGAAAGGAGGAAACAATTTTATCGATGGACTGTTTTTTTTAATATTTTTATGTCACTTTTCAATTATCTTGTACTCCTTTATGTTTTCAGAAATAGCAACGTTACGGAAAAAGTTTGAAGAAGATAAACAGAGGATATCTCTGATGAAGGCAGCTCGGAAATTTAAACCTTACTGACATATTATTTTAATAAAATAATTATTAGTAATTCACTGTTATTTTCCATTTCCAATAGTGTAGATGCAATCTAATTTATATACAGATCCTGTGTCCAAGCTCAGCATACAAAGATCTGAAAACGCTCCGTTCTACTTTCTGAAATATCATTGGCTAATGTAATACTTACCAGAACGGAAAATAAAATGGAGTTTCGTTAGATCCTTGTAAGCAAAGCTTGGACACAAGATCTGTATTTTAATCAGATTGGTATATAACTATTTATCCTGCAATTGGGTGTCTTATGATACATCAACAGCCCAACAGATATCACTAGCCTGTATTTGTATACTATACAGATATCGCTTTAAAGCTCCGCCCACTGCCAGACTATTTTTGTGTATTACTGTTGACGAGTGTTGTATGAACTTTTGTAA